TAGTAGAGGAGGCCAAGAAGGCTGGCCCACCTTATTTGCATAATGAAGCATAAGGTAAAATAAAAACAGGAGCCAGAGAAATGTCAAAACATGTTACCAACACGTGCTAAAATATGTAATTTTTGAACTAAGCTGGAAAAATAAACATGAATGCCAATTAAATTATAAAACATGAGATAACGTTCAATTATTTTTAATTTAATTGGTGCATTTTCAGTGTACTGTTTATTTTATTTATTTGGTCCATTAATATATTCATGTTTTTACTTCTAATTATGTCAGTTTCAGTCATCCATAGCAAAGGCAATGCAGAACTGATGACAATAAGGAGACAGACTGAGTAAAGCAGAGACTATTGAGATAGTAGAGGCAGCTGGGCTGATTAAGAAATGACAACAGGTGAGAGGGACTGACTGGGAGAAAAACACCGAAGAGCTTAACGAGGGAGGAGATGAGGAAATGGCAAAGAAACAAAGAACAAGGAGTACTAAAACACAGAGCAAACACACAAAAACACAGGGATCCTGACATATCCTGCATTTAGTTTATGGATATTCTGTTGAATTCATTTAGTTATGGAAGAATTTAGTTTTTTATTCTTATAACATACCATCCACTTATGTCAACCAGCTAAAGTCTACCTCATGTAAAATGATCCAAATGTACCTCTGCAGCAAGTTATGCATGAATAGAAAGTAATGAACTTGAGATTAAAATCTGTCATTATTTGTTACCATTCTTTCACCTCAGTTTCCAAGTAGAGATCCAGCCAATTGTTGGCCATTTTTATTTAATTTACATAAAGTAACATAAAAATGAACATTCATTTATCTTATTTTGCAGAAAGTTCTTCACCTATCACCATTCCAGTGCCGAATAGTATCAGCTACAAAGAGGACACAGTTGAAAAGGGTGAAACCGACTCTCTTCGAAGGGAAACTGTTTTATCAGAATTTAAAAATAAAGAGCACACATACAAAAGCGCCTCTCTCAAAGAAAACAAATACAAACAAGAGTATAACATCAATTCATTTCCAGGACACCGGAGTGTTTACTCCAAAACTGCAGCGGTTGAAGAGAAAGCAGTGAAAATAATAACATCAGTGTCTATTAACGACATGGAAAACTCATCTCCAAAGGTCATTTTCCAACAGTCCCGTGAACTGTCATCTGAAAATCTAAACAACTCATCAACACCTGTAACAAGCATCTTCAATATTAACTGCAATGAACGGCACATGAAACTTGAAATTCAAGAAACTCTACAAGTCAATGCATGTGGCATTGAGAGTACATGCACTTTCATGACAGAGAAAAAGGACAGCGCTGAAATGGTTGTTAAGCATGAATGTAAACAAACACGGATGCCCGACTACCAGTCCTCAGAGCAGCCGACACAAGCTGAGAACAGTTGCAATAAAAATCAAATCATTACTCCCAGTTTTACATTTGGCAGTATGAGCAAACCAACAGAGAATCAAACTGATGCCAAACCTGTCTGCTCAACAAATATACGGGGCAAACTGAATTACTGTCAGTGTTGCAGCAATTACCCCCAACAAAAGGCCGTAGATTTAAGTCATCCATCAGGCCCATTCAAAAATATTCCTCAAGGGGAGAGAAAATACAAAGAGGATCAACTGGGTCACCTTCCACTACCTCAACATTTGGCAGACAGGAAATACAACACTTTAGAGGACCTGCCACGAGACCTGGCTTCTTTTAGGATCGCCACTTGTACTCCAGCTGATAAACACCAAAGGACAATTCAGCGGACCTCCTCCACACAATCTGGGTCTCTGTTTTCTGGTCAAGCAGAGGAAAGAGAAGATATGACCCCGTCTGATCTGCTATCAGAATCTGATAACTATGAGCCCATGTTTATGAGATCTTCCATATCTGCCAACAGGTCCAGCTTTACTAATGATTTTATCTACTGCCAGAGAAGAAAATCACGGATTGGCAAAAGCAGCATTGCCATGGTTGAGAACAGGATCTGCTCGATGCTGAAGAAAAGACGACAGACCTTTCCTGGGATGTCAGAGGGTCCGTTCGACCAGTCTTTTTCCTCTTTCCTTATGTGCTCTCTTCCTTTCCAAACTGACAGATCTGTAAAGCAGAAACTGTTTGACGAGAGGTTTGCCATGTTTGAAAGAAAAGAGACTTGTGAGCAGGTCTTAAACATTCCAAAAGTTCACGAAGATCAACCATTTTTGAAGTCTTTCAGTTTCAGTTCAACATCAAACAAAAAGCCTGACACGTGCCCTGCCCGTGAACAAGACCAGAGTCAAAGTGGCAAGAAGCACGAGGATACTGAGCTAAAACAAAGCACTGAAGATCTGCACACTGATTGTGAAGATGAGGTGAACCAAAGAGGTTCTTCTATCCAGCTCGTTCCTCCTCCCTGCAGTGACTCAGAGGAACAAATGGTACAAACTGATCCTTCCACATTATTTGAGGGTGGAAAGGCCAAAGGTTCAAACACAAATGATTGTTGTGGAGAAAATATTTTTCAAACTACTTTGGAAAATGTCTGTGTGTCCACTTCACAGGACATAGATGTGAATTTGTTGAAACAAAATGAGGTTGCAGAGAAGACTGAGCCGGAAGCCGTTGAAAAAACAGCCAGCGGCCCCACGGTACAACTTCTACAACTGAAGAGTCCTGAAACAAATAACATGAATGTTGCCGAGGAAGAAGCTGCAAGAGAAAATTCAAGCAAACCAGCAAACATTTCCTTACATCACACAGATAAAGTGATCAACTCAAAAGAGCTGCTCCTTAAAACGGGCAAAGCAGAAAAACACCTTGCGTACAGATGTAAGTTATAGTCTTGTTTCTTTAAATACAATAATAATAAATAAAATGAAACAGAATTCAATTGATGTAAAACTCCTGTGACGTTGTTTTAATGATAGTTTCCTCAGAAGCGAAGGAGCATCTAAAGCCTGGGGTTCATAAAGACAGAGACAGCAGCATCACTGACCACTGGGACAAAAGACGAAGACTCTTCAAGGAGAGCAGGGAATGGAGCTCTGCAGGTGGAAACTCAACAACTAGTGATGTCACGGAAGACTCAGGTAACTTTTAGGGCAAAGAGGTTGACTATCCGCTCTTACCCATATTTGTATTCAAAGCACATTTAAAAACAGTTCTTTAAAAACAATTTCAAAACGCTTCAGAGCTCTAATTATTTAGAGATAGATTCTTATTTTGAAGAGTCTCTACAAGCTTTATTTGAAAGACCTGGTTAAAACCTCTTCCTGATTGCCACTTAAGGTTTAAAGGGAACCATGACCTAATTGTGTTAGATGTTTACTTCAACTGTAAAAAAAAAAGAAAAAAGTGCCAACGCTACATTGCCTTATATGTATTAGCTCGGTGCTAGCGCGACAAACAAGCTAAACTGAGGTCCTCCATCCATATTTTCAGTTGCAGGCTGAGTCATTTTTGTGTTCCCCTCTCTGTCATGTGGATGGAGGACCTCAGTGATGAGAGGAGAATGTGTAGTGCTGAGCTAATACACACACACATATAT